CCCCCCCCCCCCCCCCCCCCCCGCAGACTGGTTGAAGACAGACGTTCAGCAGCAGCGGGAGCAGATGCTTCTCAAAGAGCTCGTGTCCCTGGTGAACCAGCGCGATGAGCTGGTGAGAGACTTGGACATCAAGGAGAGGATGTGAGTCCCCTTTTCTGCTCTTGAGCATAAAGCGGAGGGACACTTGGGCATAAAAGCAGGGGGGGTGCTTCTCATTCCCCCCCCCCCCAAGAGGCAGGAGGTGCTGCCAGGTGGGTGGCTTCAAGCGTAGTTCTGGAAGGGACCTCAGAAACCTTCTAGTCCACCCCCCCTGCTCAAAAGACAGTGCAGGCATCAAAAGACACAACGCAACAATTCTGTGTCTTCTTCCTTAATGGATTCTCACTCATGTATTTAAAGCATTTTATCTTGCTCTTGGGCCAGAAGGGCTCCCAGAATGGTTTACGTGTCTTCCGTAAAACAAGCTAGTCCCTGCTTGCATTTCAAACTCTAACACGGACACAGCACACAAGGAAAGGGGATGGGAAGGGAAGAGGAAAAATAATCTGGCAGGGTGAAGGAATGCCTGTTGCCCCACTCATATCCCTCTGCAGAACAGACAGCGTGTGTGCCGGAGGTGATGAAGGAGCTTTGGGGCAGCAGGGGGAAGCTGAGTGATGTGGATAGAAGAACTTACACATATGGGAGACTAGGCATTCTCTGGTATAAACATGGGGACACCGACGGAAGAGGAGCGATATAATTGGGGCAGTGGGTGAGAAGTTTTTGACCATGAGGACTAGAACATTGACATTAATGTATTCCACCCTTTCCTGTAAGATTGTTTCATGAATTATTTCTCTTTCGTACAAATGCTGTGAGGAAAGAGAAGCTGTGGAGAATCAAGAACGAATGTAGTTTTTCCTCTTCCCCCTTTCCATATCCCGCTCCAAATTGAATGTCTTCCTCACCAAAGTTCTGGCCTCCACTAGGAAACCGGACAATTCATTTAGGGTGACAGAAAGCTTGTGTGCAAAGAAGGGCAAATGTTCAAAAAGCTGAGAGGTTACTGGGAAATAAAACTGCTGCGAGGATTAATTCGCTAGCAGCAACTCGGGGGAAAGCCACGCGGAGAATTGGTGCAGCAAAGAGCACTTCTGTTCCCCCAAAAGCAAAGCTCAGCTTCCTGCCATGTTTCTGTGACATCAAACAAGAGAATCGAATCAAGGACCGGGCAAGCTTTTTGTAAATAGTTGAGAAGGAAAAAAGCGACACCGGCAGCATTGTTTTCCTGGATATGATGCACTGGGCTTCGCTTGCTCCAGTCCATATTTTAGAAGCCGTCAGTGCACCTTTGTTCTGGCATTACGCCTTCCCTTTTGTGATTGCTGGGAACCGCCCAAGTACGGAGAGTCCCGAATTCAGTCCCCGCATCTCGAGACAGAACCTTGCCTGAAAGCCCAGGAGAGTCACTGCCTGTCCGTGTGGGCACAGCAAGACCGACGGCCGACAGGTTCCCTCCTCGAGCATCCCGCTGCCAACCAGAACGAAAAGCACAAGGATCGTCCGGGTGTTTTGTTTGCCGCAGTGCGATTTCTGCTAAAAGAACTGCCTCTCGTCACAGAAAAGGGGTTAACCTTGTTTTTTTTCGCTCCCTGTTCCTTCCTCCCCACCTTCCCTGAATCTCCCCCCCTTCTCCCCCCACTCCACCCCCAAAAAAGAGCCCTGGAAGAGGACGCCAGACTGGAGCGCGGATTGCAACAGAGGCGCCACAAGCTCAGCCGCAAAGAGAAGTGCCGTGTCAGCTGAGGCGGGCCAGGACAGCCTTCCTCTTCCCCTTTCGCCCCCCGAGGCCACCCCAGGCCTCACCCCAGGCCCTTCGGAAGGGCGCTCCCTGCCGCCCCCCTTAGCCGTCCTCTGCTGGGACCCACGGCTGCTTGTCTCTTCGTGCCAAAGAAGCTTCGCGGGGCTTTCTTTTCAGCACGTACGTTGGTGTCCAAACCTGCCGCCTCCCTCTTGCTGCAGAGAGGGGGAGCATTTTAAAAAAGCAGTGCTTTTGAACTGCCACAAAGCTCGGGCAAGCCAGGGAGCACGCCAGTCCCCGCAGCCCCGATCCCTGCTGCTTGGCTTGCAGTAGTCCCCTCCGAAAATTGGCACTTGGCTTCCAAAATCTGGTCGCAAGCCACTACGAAGACTCAGGTCAAACCGAGCTCAGCCTTGCCTGGTTTTCATAGCAGGATCCTGTTCCCCCCTTTTCCTGATGTTTTGGGCAAAGGTAGGAGCCTAGCCTGGCCCACCTTTGCCACGTACCCAACTTACCCAGAGAAGGGGCAGCACCTTTTATCATTGCTCTCTAAACTATTTATTTTGTGTGTGTGTGTGTGTGTGTGCTTGAATGCTTGCTCCTTTGGCTCTGGAAACGGGTGCCCCCTTTCCAGATCTGCACCCGTCAGAACGCTGGCTTGAAAAACTTCTGTGAGTTCTGCCTTTTACTCTTACCGTATTTTATTTTTTAACGATCATTGTTGACAATGATGGTACAGTCGCCACCACGTGCCTTCTCGGCTCCTGCAACCAGATGCAAAAAATCCCAGGAAGGTTTGCTCTCAGTTTGCAACACCTCCTGGTCCCCCAAGCCCAGTCCCTTCGAGGTTACTTGCACTAAATTTGTACCAGAGTTTGCAATAAATATAGCGAAAAAACACTGTGTGGGAAATGGATTTGTGGAGCAGACAAGCGCAGGGAAAATGCTAACTGGGGAAGCTAAAAGGAGACACTGCTCTATCACTTGAAAGGTGTCGGTCACGGAATGATAATGAACTGCAGCTGCTGAGGAACTGAGAGTGGGAGAGAAAACCAGGAAATGCAGGATGAGCTTCGACGTTTGTGCGGGGGATGAAAGAGCAAGGCCTAAAGCCAGAAAGCTGATCTCCCAACGTGGACCTCTGTTGAACTCCCCACAAAGCATGCCTCCAGTGCTGCTTGGGCTGGGAGACGGGCCTTTCCAGAGATTTAAAACCTGTCATGTCTTAAGCGAGGCGGCCGTCTGTCAGTTAGCCTCGTCCAGAGACTCCAGCGTTGGATAGGTTATAATCAGCGCTTTGGAAGAGTGCTGGTGGAAAGATCGCTGTTGCAAGCAGGATTGTGTGGCGTGGGACGGGGCCCGCTCAGCCCCTTGAGCTGGAGAGGCTGAAGTGCCGAGCAGTTTTCAAGGGCAGAGCAGGCAGTTCATGCGAGGACCCCGACAGGATGCAGCTTGAGCGGGTCCCACCGTAAGACGTCTCTAGAAATGGAGACAGGCCACCCAGATCAGGGCTGAGTCCCGGCCTAGCTGCAACACTGCATTTTCGAGGGCAGTGTAACCCCCATCCGAACTCGGATGGATAAAGTGAGAAAGGCAGGGAGAAGAGCAGCAGCGTTGGAAGGGAAGCAACAGGGGTGATCGGGGACCGGAAGCGGAGCCCTGCAAGGAGACGGAAAGAACTGGGCAAGTTCAGCCTGGAGAAGAGGACGCTTGAGGGGGGAGGGGGCCGCGCTCTGCAAGGATCCGAAAGGCTGTCGCAAAGAGGAGGGACAGGCTGTCCTCTCGGTCATCCCGGAGTGCAGGATGTGGAGTAACGAACTCGAGTTGCAGGAAAGCAAATTCCGGCTAGATAGCGGGAAGCCTTCCCTGGCTGGGAGAGCAGCATGACAACGGGGGACCCTGACTGAAGGAGGCTGCGGGTTCCCCCGCACTGGAGCCCTTCAAGATGCGCCTGGAAGGCTGCTGGAGAGACGGTCTGGCTTGGGATTCCTGCACTGGGCCGGTGGCTGGACCTGATGGCCCTCTGGCCTCCCCCAACTCTACCGCTCTGTGATTCCATTCCTCACCCTCGTCCCCAACCAGGAGTCCTCCTTAGGCTAAGACAAACCACCTCTCCAGCCCAGCACTGCCCACACTGTCTGGCAGCATGAATGGTCGGGGTTTCAAGCGGGGATTTGCAGCCCTCCCACGAGATCGGCAGTCTGCGTGGAAGGCAGCGACTCCTCCCCATCTGCAGCCCACGATCTTTTCGGTTGAGCAGAGGCCAGTTTGGTGGGGAGCCCAAGGGGGTGTCTGCTCGGGGGGGGGTCACCTCCCCTCCGGCGCTGTCAAGGGGACCCCGACACCGTGGCCAAGGCAAACTCGTCCTGTGCCAAGATGTCCTGCTGATCGTCCTCCTGGGCCAGGTTGCGGCAGGGAGCGAACAGGGCGAACAGAGCACGGACTTCTCGTAGCTGGTACACCGTCTCAAGGGTCAGCAGCATCGCCAGTAAACCCACAAGCAGGTAGCCTAAAGGGGAGGCGGGGGAGAAACGGAAGGCTGATCAGGAAAAACCACGTTACTTCCCTGTGCTTTTCATTCTCATTTCCTCTATTCGGTCACAAAATAGTAAAATTCGAAAGCTGTGCTTGTTGCTCACGCAGTGCAGGGCAGAGAAATCCAAGTCCAGGGACCAAATGCAACCCTCTGGGGTCTCAATCTAGCCCCTGCAGGGGTTCCCCACAAGGGCACCCCCTTCCCCAACCACCAAATGTTCCTGAGGTTTTCCCCCTTTCTGAAAGAATGAAATGCCTCTACCAGTGCTAAGAGCTTTAAGGCATAATAAGTTTGTATTTTTCTCCCCCCCGGGGGGGGGGCTCTGGCTCCACCCCTTTTGCCTGTCAGGGGAATGCAAAGCGGGATTTGGTCCTGGGAGGTAAAGGCGCTTCTCGGCACTGCCCAGAGTGCTCCAGCAGGGGGCAGCAGTGCTCCATCTATGGGAATTTTGCTCTCCTGCATTTCGCCCCTTAAAGGGATCACTCCGAGCTGGGACAAGGCCGGAGCGAAGAAGCACCGGGATCTGGGCGCTCTGGCGTCAGGGTGCGGCTGGCCAGGTTTCGACTGCGGACCGAATGGGGTTGGACTCCTCTTCGTGGGGCTTTTCCTTTGCGTGATGAAATGCACCGTTCGCATTCTGCGGACGCCCTTCTCTGCCACTTCATCCAGCCATTGGAATGTTTACCTACCCCGATTCTTTAAAAAGCCCTCTAAGCATGCTCAGTGGCACATTTCCCCAGGAAATCCATTTCCCCAGGAATAGGCAGCCAAGCTTGCTTCCGTAAGCACACCCCCTGGCATGCACCCAGCTCGACCGTGGGCCCCCGGTGCCAGGCCTGGCTTCCCTTCTGGCGGCCACGGCGGGTCCATTGCCGAGCCTGATGTGGCGGACTTGGAAAGGAGCCCGTCCCTTCCCCGAAATGCGCCACGCACCCACTGAGCTCCCAGCCCAGACAACCGTGTCCGCCCCCCAGGTGGCTTACAGGTGATGCTGAGTTCGTACAGCTCGTGCAACAGCGGCCCCGAACGGCCTTTGGGCACGTAGTCTCCCAGGCCGATGGTGCTGAGGGAGATGAAGCAGAAGTACACCGACTCCAGGAAGTTCCAGTGGTCCTCCAGCGCCCAGAAGCAGATGGCTGGGATGAGGATGAAGAGCGCCAGGGTGGCCAGCCCCAGGGCCAGCGCATGGCCCAGCGCCACGTGGGCCAGGGGCAGGCCCCACCGGCGCTGGACGTACCGGACGGGCCGGGAGCTCAGGACCGGCATCAGCGCCTGCAGAAGGCAGGCCAAGAGCACCAGTGTCATGGGGATGCCCACGGCCGCGTACAGGATGCAGAAGATTTTGCCCCCGTCCGAGACTGGCACCGTGTGCCCGTACCCTGCGGGGGAGAGGAGAGGGACACTGCGTCAGCCGCTGCCACAAAACGACACCTTGAGGTGCAACCCCAAGCAAGCCGAGACAAGGAGACAGGAATTAACTGTAGGCCTTTGTCTCGACTGTGTCTTCACCCTCGTTTGGACGCACAGACACAAGCGCGCTGACCGGCAAGCACAGGGAAGCCGCTTCGCCGAAATGTAATGGCATCCGTTTGCCTGCAGTTTTGTGTCCTGCAAAATCCGATTTGCCGCGGTGCGGAGTGAGGCGAGCAGAGCCTCTTGTGATCGTTCGGCCGAGGCGACCCATCTACCTGTTCTGAACTCGGGGAAAAGACAATGTGCCTTGCTCTGCATGATTAGCCCAGACATGAGACGTAACCGTGAACCGCCTGGCTCTGGCCTGGGCTGCGTGTGCTTTGAGGGCCGTGTCCACGTCTGGCTGCCACGTATTAAAAGGCACAGATGTTACCAAGCTTGAACCTAAGATGAATCCAGAGGCAAGCAGCTGGAAGTGTTAGGAGAAATGGGTGCATTTGGCCCAAACGGAAGAAGATATCTCTTTTTTAATGTATTGCTTATTGTGCGATAAAAATTCCCCTCTAAAAAAAATCATTACTAAAGAAGGAAAAAAAGTCGGTCCTGAATCTGCAATCCAACTCTCAGCTGGGCAAAGAAAGGAATATAATTTTTTTAAAGGGTCAAATAATGGATTAAAAGGTCTGTAGCACTAAATATATAACAGAACAACAGTGAATATTTATTAGGTTTCCATCCACCTTTTTCCTGCAAGGGATCCCCAGAAGCTTACAGAATCTCTCTCACCAACAGCCCTGCAAGGTAGGCCAGACTAAGAAGTAGTGGCTGGCCTAAAATTATCCAGAGGTCTAGAACAGGTTGTCCCTGGTCTGTAGTCCAACAGTCAGCTGGGAGCTGGAAGCTTTTTTTTCTGTCTCAGCTTTGGGATTGTGTCTTTAGCATTATTTGGCGTGTTAATATATATATAGGCATAGACATAGACACAAGAGACTGAAATAAAATGAATGAGAAGCAATACAATGAAGGGCTTTCTATGGGTTAATTCTGAGTATGGAGGGTAACATGCACCGTAAGTGAGAAATGTATTCTTCAAATTTGCTGCAGTGAAAACACGAGCGTATCTGTGTGAAGTATAGCAGAAAATACCACCTTTCTTTCCAGGGTAGTGCTTAACTGGGCATTTTTGTGTATGGATGGATTGAAATGACCCTTGGCTTTTGTTATGGTGAGACTTTGCAGGAATGTTTAGGTTTTCCTCCGTTTCGTGTTATATTTGGCAGAAAAGGAGCATTACCAGTTCACAGGCTCTTGCTTCGCCAGCCCCCAAAACTTAGCCGTTTATCACGGAGTGCATTAGCTGTGTTAACACCCACAGCAGTTAACTTCTGGATCCGGGTCTGTGTTTACTTACTCGGCTTGAGTAAGTGGAAGGCAGGCAGCCTAGAATTATTTGAAAATTGCCTTCCACGTGGTCAGATAACTAGCTTGGCAGGAAGGCCTTGGGATTCTAGCTGGGGAGTCCGCCTTTCGCGGCAGTTGCTATTTTATGACAACGGAGATCTGTGTAAGGCGTGTGTGTGTGTGTGTGTTTGTGTGTGCACAAGACGACACGACGCTTGTGCCTTCCACAAATGCACGCAGGGGATTTTTAAGGGCCGGCTGTAGAAAGAAAGCTGCCTCTGGGTAAGCGGGTCTAGAAGCCCCGGAAAGGCCTAGGAGGAGCTCAGGAGACCATCTTGCCTGGCAGCCAGCTCGGTGCGGGAGCCCGCGTGTGCTGGGAGCCCATGTTCCTGGGCAAGGCCTGTGGTGCACGGAAGACGGGCCTGAGGGGGAGAGGGCTTCGTCTGCACGCCCCCGTGCTCCTCCGTGCGCCCCGTTGCCTCCACAGCCCCGCTGCCCCCGGTCCCGATCCGGGCTGCCCCAGGGCGCCGCGCATGCCCTCCAAGCCCGGCCGGGGGCGCCCGACCTGCTGCGGCACTCCCCACCTAAACCATGCCCGGACACCTGGTTTTCCCAACCCTGACCCTGTACCGGTGTACTCCCATAACCCTAGTAAGGGGTCAAGTTCCATTAAGAGGGGCGACTTAGAAAAGCCCTCTCTGAGAAGCTTTTTCTGCACAGCTCATCATTTCTGCCCATTCGAAACACATTCCAGCCATCAAAACCCGGAATGCGGGGCAGCGGCTCGAAGCGCTGGGGGGCAGCGACCCGCCTGGGCCAGCAGTGCCGGGCAGATGGGCAGTTTCTGGGCGCCCCCCGCCCGCCCCTTCCTCTGCCCCGTTGCTGGTGCCTCGGTGGGGGCGCCTGGCACGCGTGGGGCATAGCTGGGCAGGTGGCGGTGGTGAGGGGCGGCCGCCCGCCCGCCTGCCCGGCCCGCTTTGGGTGGCTGCATGTGCGATCGGGAGACGCGTGTCCCCCGAGACGCCGGGGCGACGCAGCCTCCCGGCACACAGAGCCCGCTTCCTGCCAGCGCGCAGCAGGGAGAGGGGCGTCGCGCGCCAGGTTGTGGGTCCCGGCGTTGTGTGCCTTCCAGGCGGTGCCGCGCCGACCAGGGGTGCGCCCGGGCGGCTTATCTTGGCCCGTGTGAGTCACCGGGCGTGCCTCCGGGTGCACGGGCGGGCGGAGGCGCAGGGCGAGTCGGGTCCTCGGTTCACGCAGCCTGGACTGCTCGCTCGGATGGGCAGCAGCCGGATGTGCTGGCCTGGGCTGAACGCGCCTGGCATTTCCTGCTGCGGAATCAGGGCCTTCCCTCTCTCGGCTGCCCGTCTGGCTGCGTGCTTTCTGTGCTGCGGCCCAGTGTGGAAGTGGCTCCTGCGCCCAGCTCCCTGGAGGCAGACCAACTTCACTTAGTGAGTCAGCTAAGTGTGTGGATTGTGGATACATTTCGAACTTGGTGCTGATGCAAAGAACCGCTTTCCCTTTTCGTGGCTCTGAGTTTGCAAATTGAATTTTTTGCATGCATGCTAAAGCAGAGACTTGAAGTCTTGCAAATCCACCACTGAAGAAACCCATCCAGTCAAAATGCCCTTAGGAGCAAAATTAATTGTCTCCAATTACAAGGGTTGTTACTCGGTTGTGACGTCTTTTGTGTCTCTCCCTAACTGTTTTATATTGTTACAAAGTTGGTTCAATTTCTGTTGACTTGCTGTTTTGTTTAGCTATGTTTTATACATTATTTTATCATTATGATACTGACGTTTGTGGGTAAAATTTTAATCTATGCGTCTGTCGATAGCATGACAGTTTTCCGCAGCTATGTAGATCCCCCCCTAAATTTCCTCCTTCGGTATCGCATTTCTATCCCATCCTTTTTTCGTTTTGCAAGTAACCCAAAGCAGTTCACATGGCCCTTCGCCCCCTCTCTCTATCATCCTCACAACAACAACCCTGTGAAGTAGGTTAACCCGCGTCAGCAAATAACCCAGAGTTACCCAGGCCGCTTCATGCCTGAGCGTCGCCTGGAATCCAGGTCTCCTGAGTCCAAATCAAACACCCATTTTGGATTCCCGATCTCAAAGCGCCCAGCTGAGCTGCTGGGCTCGTGGTGGTGTGGGTTTTTATTGGCATGTGTGTTTGCATTTTGTTTAAACGTTTGCATGTATAATGGTCCTGCCCTATGCACTGATTTAAAAGTCTTGATAAGCTGGCTCTGGGAGACATGGGGCTATCCAGATGTTGGACCACTGTTCCCATCAGCCCTGGCCAGCACAGCCAGCGGTGATGGATTGTAGGACCTCCAAGAGCAGAGAAAGGGCTGCACATCTGTTCTCCCTGCTCTGGGCAAATCTGGGAAACCCGTTGCAAGGAAACGGGCAGCGGGACTCGTGCGTCACTTTGACGCATGCAGAGTCCTGGGCATGGCACGGCGCAAGTCCTCAGTGTGCCCCCAGCTGTCCCTTTCCACCGCTTGGCTTTTCACCGGCGGCTGCCCATCCCGCCCCCCAAGATTCAAGCCAGCTGCCTTTGTCCTCGGGACGTCTCCCCGTTACGGAGGAGATTCATCTAGCCTGCAAGCCTTCTCAAGGCATTCTAGACTTTTCCTTTCTGTGAATAAGCGCTCGCTGCATTTTGAGCCCTCGCCTCGCTCCTAGGATGCCCCCCGGGTCGTTCCTCTGTCCCAGCCTGCAGCGTCAAGCACACTTTTTTACATCGGGAGCGTAACGCGTTGATCGCGCGTCTCCCGCGGCGTGTCGCTGGCCTGAAAAGGGGGCAGCCCGGCTTCCACGGAGCGCCCCCCGCGCCGGGGGCGGAGGAGCGGGCGCCCCCCCCCCGCGCGGTACCTGTGGTGGTGAGCACGCTGGCCGCGAAGAAGAGCGCCGAGGTGAACTCCCAGTTCTCGTCGGCGGACGCGTTGCCCAGGCCGGACACGCCGTGGGCGCCGGCGCGGAGGAGGCCCCGCAGCAGCGCGGCCAGGCGCCGCTCGCTCAGGCAGGCGCCGTGCTCGGCC